AAAGGATGCAGACCCTTAGGTTGTCGTTACCTGCTGGATTTTCATGGCGCCTTTCGTTGATCAGTGCGGTGAACATGTTCACAGGCGGCTCACAACGGTGACATCGCGCCGAGCTCTGGCCTACTGTGGTAAACATCACTGAGATTTGTTGGTCAGATCTCATGTCACATCCTTGGCTGGTGCCCAGACGGAAAGGGCAACCAGATCTCCATTAACCTCAACTAGCTCTTATTAAAATTGAGCCGATATAGGTCAGGGCTACAGGGAGCATATGCAGCGTCCCCATACGGATGTGGCGTACGTGGATTTGAACGATACAAAGAGATAGGTAGGTAAGGTACTATTTGATTACACAGTTCGCCGGCTCTCATCAACCGTAGCACTGGGCACGGCTCACCTGTGTGACAGTGGTTTGATCCGAGTCCAGGAAGACGATGCAGGCGATACAGTGTCTCTCGGAGATCTACATAACGTTATCTGGATCTCGGACAGAGCAACCGCCTGGTTGGCAACAGTGGCGCCAACTTGGAATCAACGTTAACTCCCGTCAGTACAATACATAATAAGTATCTACTGTAGGTATTGCACCAGTGCTACGTGGACCTGTAGCTCAGGCACAAGTTTAAGCTTGCCAAAATTGCCCGGACCAGGGAACGACCAGGTTGCTGAGTGCAGAAGCGCCTTGGGCACAGGAATTGTCATTATTCGAGATTGGTTGATCAAACGACGCTCGTTGGCAATCACCCAATGCACAATTGCTTGGGATACGTAACTACTTCATCCACTATGTGTACGTACATACAGTACAGGGACCATTTCTCGGGAAGCGTGACTACACGTGTATTACCACAATGCCATAAAGCTACTCCATAATTATGGCCGGCCTGATCGACGTGGCCCCACCCTTGCTCCATTTTCTCATCTCAACTTTGAACCTCCACCTCAGACGGACAACAAAGCTCTTGTTCGCTTGACATGTTGTTCCCCTCCTGTCTCCTTGCATGAGCGAGTTTGCCGGTTCCCAAGGTCACCAATCAGCATCCTTCCCGGCCCGCCGAGCTGCCCAGTAAAGGCGTTCAGATGCTACGTTCGGGGAACCCTTCGATGCGCTAGTTCGCCTGGGCAGTTCGCCGAGAGCGAGAGAGAGAAGTGGCAGCCCAAAAACGTCGTTCGTCCCTAAGAATTCCCTAGTGTACTTCAGCTTCCCACCGTCGCATACCCCACGCAGAGTCGCAGACAGACAAATTGTACCCGAAGCTGGCGCATGATTTAGATTGGCCCCCTAGGCCTCAGGAGTAAGGAACCCCCCGCGACAACTCATTAGTAACGAGAAGCGCCTTGCAATCGATGATTGACTGCGGAGACCATCACTGGAGTTTCCACTCCTCCTACCTAATTATCAACTATCTTCCAGGTTTCTCACGAACTCGGGGCATGTCCCTTGCTTCAGATCCGGGATTCAAAGGCCCGAGGTTCTTCGCTGTAAGTGGGGACAGCCAACACGGCACTCTCCGTCTGCTCCTACATAACTTCCTTGAACCCCTTTTCTTTGCATCGCTTTTATTGACATGGCTCATAACACTACCGTTACACGCAAGGTGACCTGAAGCAGGGGATAACTTCAAGAGTCAAGACACAAGACCAGAGAACGCAGAAAAGGGCAGGGAGAAAGACCGCATCCGAAGCGTAGTATATTGTACTGTACAGTACAAGACCAAATTGGAAGGAAAATTCTGATTGGTTCTTGGTGACTTGCCAGGAATGGTCCTCTCATTTGTCAGGACTGACACTGAAAAGTGCAAACCGGCCAGTTGGGAGCTGCATCTCACCATGTAACCCAGGTGCCACTTCGAAGTTCGAGGGTGTGACAAAGACGCAATTCCGGATGCACCCTCCCGGGACCTTAGGTTGCGCGATCCCGCTCTGGGGCTTGCCGCATTCCGTGCAGCCGCCCTAGTTCCTGTCACGGTCTTTAACGTCATGTACATACGTGCGGAGTATACAATACATATGCACTACTGCTCTTGTCTGAGGAAGGGTGTAGAGGTGGGGGGAGATGGCGGCACAACGTTGATGCCTGTATCCGTATTCAAGTACTGTGCAAATTGTGTTCATACAGTAGTAACTAGTCTTGAGCTAGTATCATCATGCAGTTATATCCTAGCTTAGTGAATACACGAGTTAACTACTAACGAGTTGGTCGGTTGGGGCAAGTTTGAGCAAATGGGGGTGGAGATGAAAAGGAGAAGGGGGAAAGAAGAGCTGGGAAGGAAGAAGCTGCCGCAACCCACGATCATGTAGTGTACGTACGTAGCGTGACATGGATGCCGCCAACTGGGCATCTGCACTAGGTAGTTAGAGGCTTGACTCTTTCTTGGTGCGCCTTTTTTTTCTCCTCCGTGTACGAAGTACCTATGTTCCTGGATCTCTTTCCTATAGATGTCAGTAAAAATGCCATACTTGGTATTACCGCAGTGTGTACGATGGTATGGAATTCCGACACCAATCTAGTGTGTATCCGCTCATCGTTCATAACTGGCGTGGAAGGCACTGTCTTGAACTCTTCAAGATGGAATTCTATCAAACTTCTGTGCTACATTACGTACCTGATGCATGAACTAAGCGTTGGGCTGATCTGGCTCGGGACTCGCGAGCCTCTCGGTACCATGGTTCGCTAGGCAGCGGTACTATACGGGTACATACAATCTGTATTGTACAGTCCAGTATATACGTGTATGTATGTATGTACGGATAAGCCCACCTTCTCTGGCTGAGCCATACTCTATCTTGCGTGATGCATCTAAAAACCGCTCTGGACCTGGCTGGAAGATGCGTGCTGCCAGGCAATACCGGGCCGAGAGATCAGTGTTGCAACTCATGTACTGTAAATAAGGTACTGTATTGTATTGTACTCGTACCGTACAATCTACCCCCAGAGTATCTCATTTCTTAGGTTTACTTCTGAGTACCTCCGTAGAGTTTGCGTAGATCCTGCCTGTTCGTCATGCCACCACCCGGGGATCGGGAGAGAGGCAGACGAGGAGGGTTCCCCAGAGATCCTTTAATCTCGGCTGTTGCTCAGCATGAAGAGGGGTGTCGGACGGGAGAGCTTAAGGAAAGTCGCAGATATCTCAATCAATACAAGAGTTGCTGGCAGTCATCCTCTGCCAGTATTAGAGGTAGGTATGGAGCACAGTACAGTACAGCACATACAATCAAAACAGCCAACCACCTTATCCATAATTCGTACGAAGCACATTACATACTATGTACTTACATCTGCAGCCATCGATTGTATTGTGGATAAAACATGCAGGTGGCTACAGTAGTGTAGAACTGTAGATGTCACCGCGAATCTTGACAGTTTTCTTCTATATTGCCTATAGCTATTCTTGGTCGCAGCGTTCGAAACCCGGGATACTCACAAGGAAGGCGGTGCCTACTTCGTACATACCTAAGTACCACACTACCGTTGACAACACCACACTCACTACCCGTCCCGGGCCGAAGACCCCAACCACCTGAAGCAGCTGCAGGTCCACAACTCCCGTGCTCCTCCCGAAGGGGAGGGGATGCACGGACGGGGCGGCGGTCCGGGCAAGGCGGGAAACAGCCATGTCAGAATATTCTCCGCGGACCTTGGGCTCCGGGATCTGCGGGGAGCGGGTACGAATCTAAATACGACGCTTACGTCAATAACGCTCTCCCACTCTAACGCGGTTTCAGCTAGAGTTGTTGTTCAGCCTCAACCGGTGCAGACGGAGAGAGAGGAACCTGGGAAGCCCAGTTGAGCAGAGCCCACGGGCGCAGAGGAGCAGTCATGGATGCAGCTAATCTATGCTATCCAGGGGGCGGGCCATCGAGAAATAGACAGGAGAATGAGACAAGATAAAAGTCATGCAGTGCTATGCGACCTTCCGAGCCCAAAACAAAACATGATACAAGAGCTGACCCGCTGAACACTTCGCTATGCCTCGACTACACATCATACACGGTACACCTAACCGAAGGCGACGGTCAACCAGGGAAAAGGAACTGCGCAGAGACCGCTCTGACGTCGATGTTTTCACAGGGAATTCACCGGCGGCGTTACGTCCGCTGCTTACAACCGACTCTGGACGCGGGGGTAGTCCTGCTCACCGGGCCACTGGCCATCAGGCCAGACGTGGCGAATTGCTTCCCAGATGTGGCTGAGAACCACAGTCAGCTTTCCCCCCCAAAGAAAAAGAGAAGAAACAAAAACATACCTAACGTGGATGATTTCTAGCCCGTCTTTGACTTCCTGCGGCAGGTCCTTGACGTCCTTGCGGTTCTGGACCGGCAGTAAGACCGTCTTGACACCGGCCCGCAGGGCCCCGATGAGTTTCTCCTTGATTCCTCCGACGGCCGTAATGCGACCGCGAAGTGAAATTTCACCCTAGAATTGGTACGACGAAGAAAACGCCGTGTCAGTCTGCCGTAGTCCCAAGGGCGAGTATATGGTATCATGAATCAAATTGAAACTCATGTGGGTCGAGAAACGAAAAGGACCGAAGGTGGGATGATTTGACGCAGGTCAAGGCAAGAAGACCAACTGCGAGAGAAACCTAAACGAAGCGAACTTACCGTCATTGCCATGGTAGGCGGTACCGCCCGGCCAGAAAACAAGGAAATCAGCGCGATGGCCTGGGCGATGCCGCTGCTGGGGCCGTCTTTGGGGATGGAGCCCGAAGGGCAGTGCACGTGTATGCTCCTCTCCTTCATGATGTTCTCGCTTGGGCTCCGAGTCAGGCCCAGCTCGTATGCGTGAGCCTTGACCCACGTCAGGGCCACCTCGACGCTCTCCTTGAGGACGTCACCCAGCTTGCCCGTCAGCTGCACCGTGCCGGTTCCCGGCATGTCGGCCACCTCGATGAAGAGGATGCTGCCGTTGCCGCCGGAGCTGTAGGCCACCAGCCCGGTGACGATGCCCGGCCGGCTCGTCTTCTCGGCAATCTCCTCCTCGAACTTCTCGATGCCGAGGAATCGCTCCAGGTCGTCGACGCTGAGGCGGGGATTGTACTTTCCTATCTGGCCCGCGTCTTTGGCGTCGGCGAATTCGACTGCCTTGCCGCGGAGCACCGACGAGATCTCGCGTTCGAGGTTGCGAACGCCGGCCTCGCGCGTGTACGACTCGATAATCTTGGAGATGACGTCGTCTGTGAAGATGACCTGATCGCTGCTGAGCCCGTTCACGCGTATCTGTTTGGGCACCAGGTGCTGCATTGCAATGTGCCGCTTCTCCAGCGTAGTGTAGCCGGGGAGGTAAATAGTCTCCATTCGGTCCAGCAACGGGGACGGGATGGTGTCGAGTGTGTTTGCCGTGGCGATGAACATGACCTTGCTGAGATCGATGGGAATGTTGACGTAGTGGTCGGTAAAGCTGTTGTTTTGCTCCGGGTCAAGCACTTCGAGCATCGCTGCCGACGGGTCGCCGTGCAAACTTGAGCCACCAACCTTGTCGATCTCGTCCAGCAGGAAGACGGGGTTCGCCACGCCCACCTTCTTGAGACCTTGAACAATGAGTCCAGGCATGGCAGCGACGTAGGTGCGCCGGTGGCCGCGGATTTCAGCCTCATCCCTCACACCACCCAAAGAGATCCGATGGAACTTCCTGCCGAGCGCGGTAGCAACCGACCGTGCAAGGCTTGTCTTACCCACTCCCGGCGGCCCAACAAGCAGGAGAATGGGCGACTTGTCTACCATGCGCTTGCTCCTCAGGACCTCGAGCTTCGCGTTGATGGCCTTGGACTTTTCGTCAACGCCAGGCTCTGCGGCGCTACCACCTTCAGCGTTGCCATTGTCGTTTGCCTCAAGTACACCAACCTCCTCCTCGACCTTTTTGATTTGCGCATCAACATCGTCATTTATGGACTGCTTCAGCCTGAGAACGGCTAGGTATTCGAGTAAACGTTTCTTGACCTTCTCGAGCCCGTAGTGGTCGTCGTCCAATTGCTTCCGTGCCCTGCTCAGAGTCTCGGGGCCCAGACGATCATTTGTGGTTACAGTCCACGGAATCTCGGCCAGAGTCTCAAGATATGTCCGTGTCACGGCATACTCGGCTTGCGCAGGGTGGATCTTCTTCAGGCGCTTGATCTCTCTCTCAGCAACCTTGGCGGCCTCTGGCGACAGCTTAGCGGCGTCAAGCCTCTTTTGCAGTTCTTCAATCTCGTTGGGCTCCTGCTCATCTTCCGAGTTCCCACCCGGTTGGCCCGTGAACCCTGGCGGTGGGAAGGGCATGCTGGTTCCTGGCCCGGTCACCTTGGCGGATTGCCTTGCTTTGTTAGACCTCCAAATCTTTTCGATCTCCTTCTTGGCCGCATCAGGATCGATGAAGGGCAGCGTCGTTGTGCTGACGGCGGTGATCTTCATGTTATTCTTGATGTTGCCCACCTGACGGTCGAGCAGTTCAACCACCCGGGCAACTCGTTCCTTGACATCCACCAAGGCAAGCACCTGGAGCTTCTCCTCGTACGAACATTCGACAATATTGGCCATAAAGTCAGCCAGGGCACCCGGTTCCTTCTGTTTTGTGATGAAGAGGTCCAGTCGGCGGGCGAGCAGGGGCGATAGGCCAGGGACCCCGTTGGACCGCGGCATTATGGACGAGAGCCTGAGAATGACGACAAGCTCCCTTGACAGAAGCTTAAGGTGCTGAAAGAGGTCGGCGAGCGCGGAGTCGGGCCGGGTGTCATCGTCGGGGCAGTAGACGACTCTGGCCTCCAGATATGGCTTGTCATGGTAGATCTTTTCCAGCCTGACGCGCACTACGCCTTCGACGAGGAGCGTGAACTCGCCTGTCCCGCGTCCCTCGACGCCTGTAATCTTTGCAGCAACGCCCCAGCCGAAGAGGTCATTCATGGACGCCTTGGCCGGATCGACATCTCCGCGGTCGGGGCTAATGGCTCTTTCGCCGTTTTGGATCAGGAGCTGGCCCTTGGGGCCGAGGAAGGGCGAGGCGAGGGGGATGCAGGCAATCGGGACCGTGTCGATGCGCCCGTTGGGCGTCTTGGAAGCAGCACGTGTGTAGACAGCCGCAAGGAGTGATGCAATGTCGGGACGGTTGGCTGAAACGGGAATTCGCTGGACGATGCCCGGCAAGAGGACGCTGTCCCGGGGGAGTGTGATGACTGGGAGCGTCGCTGTCTGTGTCCGAGCCATTGGTGTTGCCGTTCGAGAGCGCAGCCGCAAAGTGCTGGCCGAGATCCAGTATGTTAATCAAACGTCTTGGTGTTACTTGGGCAGTTTCCTATCGTACGTTGAGTGTTGACGTCTCGAGTTTTTGTTTTTGTGTTCAATCTTGTTTATTGATCGGTTTGTTCTAAAGGGTCGGGACCTGTTACATATCGTTCGACTCTGTCGAATTATATCGAACGCTGCTGAAGAGTTGGTGGTCGGTTGTTCATTGGTGTTGGAATCTGCCGAGGCTAACGTTAACACACGCCCAGATTCGGGGAAGCTATTGCAGCACCGGGGCGGGCCAATGCCGGCCAAGGTCCCAGCTCCCGGCTCATGGAGAAGAGCCAAAGGCCCAAAAGCCTGGCCTGTGGAGCAGCCAGAAGCTCGGCTCACATTACTACAGTACGAATACCGGAGAGTTACACCGTTTCAGCATGTGATTGACGGGGGACCGAGGGGACTCAAGCTTGGGGTAGGTATGAACTTAGAAAAATCAATGCTCGTTGCTCTGAGTTCGCTCATTGCTCCGAGTTCGATAACAGTCGTTAATGATCAAGTGCGTCCAAGGTCTATACCAGATCATGAAAGAAAACCCGATCATTTTCACAAGTCATTTCAATACGGACTATTATCTCATCGCCCAGTTAAGCCTTCCCGTCCTTATCGAGGTATCTCGCGTATGGTACATACATTCAACAAACTTCAAAGTGAAACGCGATGGAGGTCGAGCAGAAAGCAAAGAGGAGAATATTATGCTCATCAAGCAAGGCCGTTAAATCTTTTCCACCAACTAGCAAACAGAAAGCATTTCCCCCAGACTACCTGCCTGACCTTCGGGGGCGGGGACCTCACCTGCCCTCTCGCCATGGACACCGAATTCCAACGCTAGTATTCATAACCCACCGCATTTAACCTGATATACCTCCATTATCATGGTCATCATAACTCCCCGCTTCCTCCAGCATCTGGCGCAGTTTAGGCTTGCCCCTGTCCCTGGCCTGCATGGCCGAGCACCAAGAACCCGCTCGGTGTCTTGGGCATCGCCGGAGCCTGCGACTGCAAAGGCGGCGATACCGGGACCGACAAACCACCCTGTTGTTGTTGTTGTTGCTGAGACGGAACCCCGCCGTCGCGCGACAGGCCGCTCGTCATCCTGCGTATCCTCGATCTCGATGCCAGGGGGCGCACCATACTCTCGAGGAAAAAAGACCCGCCCTCGCCGTTGGCCGTGTTGGGCCGCTCGTCGTCCCCATCCGAAAAGACGTCCTCCGCAAACTCGTCGTCCGAGGTAAGGTCGCCAGCCATGGCGTACGACGCAGGCGCCGATGGGGATGTTACCGATCTCGAATGGAGCGAGGGCCGGTTCGGCGGGGTTATGGCGCTTGCTGCTGGGCTTAGCCCACCGATGTTGAAGGCGCCCGGGTTCATCGTGTTGGACGCCACGACTCCCTCCCGTGGCATAAAGGTAGGTCTGTCCGCGAAGCCGTTCTGGAATGACATGATATTGTTGTTGTTGGAAGCCTGGTGGAGGATAGGGAGGATCTGCTCGTCGTACAGTTCAGCCCCGGACTCGAATGTGTCCGGTGAGAACTCGGTGATGGTCCGCGAGGACCGGCCATCGCTCGGCGGGCTTGTTGACAGGTCGTCGAAGAAATCGTCCAGGCTGTCCAGCTTGGAGAAGAGGTCTCCCATGGGTGCATCGCCCCGCCCGTCGTCCGACATCATTGTGTCGGCCCGGTCCGAACCCGGGAAATAGCCGTACGGGAACTCGTCCGTGTGGAACTCGACTTCGGGCGTTGGCGTCGCCTGCGGAACGACACCTTCGTCGCTTTGGCACATGTAGAAGGCTGCATGGATATTGGCACGCGTCGATTCTGTCTTGCGAGCGGGCATCGGGATCGCCCATCCCGATGCTTCTGGAATGCCAAACAGGCTTTGTGTGCGCTCATACTCTTTGCGGACCGCCTTCGACGTCGGGCGCGTCATGCTCATGCGGAGATGGTGCTTATCCATCGAAGACCCGGACATGGTCATGATGTTGTCCAGCACTTGCAGCGCCTCCATGCAGTAATCCGTTTGAAGCAGTCGCAGCAGAGGCGAAATCATGTCGGACCCGTGGCTGGCAATCTCGGGCTTTTTCATATCGATCTCTGGTATGACGACGCCTAGGATACGCATCGTCTCAATCTTCATCCACGACGTTCCATTCGTCAAGAAGCCCATCAGCATGGTGAGCATGCGGAATTCCAAGGCAGGCAGGAAGCGCTCCCGAAGCGCCCCGAACATCTGTGCAGCAAATTCGGTCCCAGATGAATACTTGAATGCGAGAAAGCTGTCTAGGACCATTGCCATGCCCGTCAATCCCTGCTCGTCTGCAAGCGCCATGAGTGTCTCGGCCGTTTGCACCACGCCGTTGTCAAGCGTTTCTTGGTCAATGGCGTGCAAGAAGCGGGGGAGGTTGGCAATTGTGGTGAAGAACAAACGGCTGTCATCGCCAACCAGGGCATCGCTAGGAAGCCGTATAAGTCTATCCAGCGTGTTCAAGGTCAAGTCCAGACACGTCGACGACCGCAGGCCTTTGTACAGCAGCGGCTGCAAACCCTCAAACGGCCCGTCCCACTTGGATGGTTGGCCGTCGTAGAGCAGCCGCCGCACAGTGGGCGATTGGAAGTCGAGCTTGTTCAGGAACTCGTTGAGCATCTCGACTGCCTCGAGAAATTCGCACTCATTGATCGATTCGAGGCAAGCGCACGTAGTCCAGAAAAGCTGAGGAAGCGCCAGTAGCTTATCGGCATCGAGCTTCAGGATCAGGGTTCTCAGAGTCGTGAGTATCTCCATAGAAAATGTCTGAATCTCGGCGTCTTCTTCCGCAATTGTATTAGAGAGTCGTGCGAGCATGTCCCCAAGCATGTACTGATCAAGCGATGTCAGGATACACCTGAAGATCTGGAACGACCGGCAAGCAAGGTGCCTGACAGGGCACGATGTAGCCCAGGTAAGTGAGAGTCTGCCCCATTTGTCTTTTATGCCGGGATAGGTAAGCTCGAAAGTCTTGACAACCTCAGCAGTCAGGTACTCCATGCTGGGAGGCACCTTGCTGTCGTGGCCATCGACCTTTGCATTGCTGTCCTCGTAGCCCCAGACCACCGACCGGTCGTGGCGGCGGATGGAATCGATCAAGCTCTCGATAGATTTCCTTGTGGCTTCCGGCGTGCTGTCGTCCAATCTCGAGATCACGAGCTCGTGTATTAGGTGAACCAGCATCTCACGAGCTTGCTCTTGAACAAGAGGCGTATAATGGTCCCACAAAACGGTAACCACCTGTAGTAGGACGGGGACGTTGTCAGCGACGAGGCTGACCGGCGCAACCATGAGGTCTACGAGCAAGATGAGCGAAAGCTGGCCGAGAGAGAAACCGGCTTGTTTGGTTCCGACCGGGAGAGCTTCTGAAAGGTCTGCGCAGTAGGGCAATGTGTTGATGTCCGGGGGAGGCGGCACGGCGTCCCGCTTCTCATTGGGCACCATGGCTTTAGGAGTGATTTGGAGCAATAGGAACTCAACCACCTTATTGCCCGGCATGCTGTTCGTGCTGGCGAGGAAAACGACGATCTGCTTGGCGTACTCGACAAAATTCTGTTCTCTCCGTTCCAAGCAGAGGGACATGATGAAATCCAAGATGAGGCGCACATTTCCCGGATGCGGCCCAGTCGCCAGCGCCTGCCAGAGGGCCTGCACCTCATTGTGCAATGCGGCGCTGGACTTTATGGTGATTTCGAGAAGGTTTGCTAGTAGCACGTACGATTGTGCAATCGGCCCTCCATTCGGGTCCACCTTGAGCTCAACCGCTTGGATCCAGGGGAGAATGACGGCAATTACATTCCGTTGTGCAACACCCTGCTGCTCTTTGAAATATGAGGTAAATTCGGAGAAGATATGGAAGGCCAGCTCCGTATGCTGCTTTGCCAGTCTCTTGGAGATTTCAAACTGGGCGAGCTTGTAAACAGCCTTGGTCTTATCCGAGATGCTAATATCAAAATCCTGGATCTTGGAGCTCCGCGACTGCGACTGCCGCTCCTCAAGCGCTCTCAGGAGATGCGACGCCCTGGACCGGACGGCGCTCTGGTCATTGCCCAGCATGAAGAGGCAAAGGCCAAGGAGCTTCCAGAAGGGGCAGGAGTACCCAGGATGCTCCAAGAGCACCTCAGCCACCACGGTAAAGTAACTGTCAAGCACCTTGGGGGCCTCGGCCAAATAGCACCTCGAGATGCAGTACTCGAGGAGATAGGGGTACTCCTGGTTGTGCACGATCAGATTTTTGAGAGCTCTCCTGCCGATGACGTTCATACGGTCACTGCCCGAATTGAATATGTCCTCGATCCACGCCAACATCCGCCGGACATCGAATTGCAGGGACACGCCGCTCTCTGTGGTGACACTGATGGGCCCGCCACATAGCGCAGCCATGGCGCTGAGGGCCGCCGTCCGCAAGTTCCTCTTCTCAATCTCCATTGCCGCTGTCAAAGTTCCGCGTTCGCCGGCAGCTTTCTGGTCAATAACAGACTGCCTCATGTTGTCTTCTCTCTGCCGAATCTGGGGCTGATTGGGGGAGAAGCCACACCAGTCCTCCATCAAAGCAAAGGCCGATTTCCGCGCCTCAAACGTCATCCAGCGAGCCGGATCTTTTGTTCTGTTGATGCCTTCAAAGAGCTCCTCCATGAGTCCGCAGTAATGACGTCTCAGCTTCTGGAATTCCCAGTCCATCTGCACCTCGTGGTCCATTAAGAAGAGCTTCAGGTCCTTTGTGTACGTCACGAGGTTATTCAGAATCCAATCGTCCTGGTATACTTGAGGCACTCTCAGGAAGTGCGATGTTAGCTTATACACGTGGGTAATCTCGGTTCGCAGAATGTCCATCTTGCGATTCCGGCGCGGGCTACTGTTGGTACGCTGGTGGATGCGTTGGCGGGCGTCGTCATTACAGCGGGAGACATGTCCCTGAAGCTCCTCAAGGAGTGTACGGTATATGTGAATGTTTATGGAGCCCATGGCGATGACTACAGCCTCCCGAATAGGCGCAGAAGAGACGGAGAGCATAGGGTTCAGGTACTTGAAGAGTGTCCTTGCTGATCCAATCTTCTCGGCGGCTGACGAGGGCTTGGATACTTTTCTACCGTGCTGACCGTTTTGGGCTCCAATTGCCTGGCCGGTTCCGGGATCAGCGAGGGTTGTGCAAGCAAACACGAGGTACAGCTTCCACTGCTCTATGACCACCTCGGGTTGAGTTGTCGGGGTCTTGCCTGTCAGCCGAGCGCTGCCGGTGTCTGCATAGTAGTACTGCCCTCGCATCTCCCGAGGCGGTTCCGAGAGCACCGTGATGACTTTGTATAGCTGAAGGATCCGCTCGCAGACCAAGTCACGGCTAAGACTGATGGCGAACGGGCACTTGTCGAACGCGATGCGGATGAAATTAGGGAAGATCTTGAACCACAGCGTCGTGTCGTATGACACATCGCTAGCACAAAGTTCAATCAAAGTACCCCGGTTGTTGGTGTCTTGCATTCCGCGCTGCAGCCTGCTGCGTTCGGCTACAGAGAGCTGCTCATCGTTGAAACTCATGACCTGCGTTGAGTCATTCTCGAGGATGTCAATGAGCCTGGTGGTATCCTTCTCGCGACCACTCGGTTTCCTCAGGACCGCGTCAAACTCGGTGATCAGCCGGAGTACGTTGACAGCGTAGTACCGGACGCGCCGAGACTGAGAGCAAAGAAAGAACAGCCCGTGCGCCTCCACTTGGTCAACTTCTGCCCAGACGCTAGACAGATCAAGTTTGATTCCTCTCTTGTCCGGGCCGCCAGCCTCGCTACTGTCTTCGGTGGCAGTCTTGGTTTTCTCCTTGATCTCGTCGATCCAAATATGGAGGAGCTCGATGTACAGCATAAGCGTCTTCTCAATATGCCCTGGCCCCAGCATGCCTCCGTCTGACATGGTGGAGTAACGGTCATCGAAGTTGAATATGAAGCGTGCAAAACCCATAGTAACTTGATGAGCGTGAGACTGGCGGGCGATTGCTTTCAGCGACTGCGCCGACGACTCTGCAATATTGCCCTGAACGTGCGCCGTTCCCGTGCAAAGGAGGTTAATTAGGGTATTGAACGGTATGTCCGGTGAGAGGCACCGCGGCAGTGCTTGTACGGCTACATGAAGCAATTCATAGAAAGCTTGCTTTTGTTCTTGGGGACTAGGGTGGTCGTCTCTGCGGGAGAAATTGAAAGTCTCGGCGATGGGCGTCTTAGGTCCCGGGCTGCTATACTTGTCCATTTTGTCAAACTTTTCAAATTTCTCGTCCAGCGCCGCCTGACCACCAAATGTGTTGTCGCAGATGATGGTGATCTTTCCAAGTATCTCACAAAATCTTGCATAATAGTCCCGCACGCTGTCGCTGAGCTTGGAGACCATTACCGGCCTGGAAAGTCTTTCGCCGCCGGACGAAAAGGCAGCCCGGCTGACGGACGGGGCACCGCGCGGTGAACCCAGAACGGGCGAGGTAGGGGGTGCCCGTTCAGGAGGAGAGGAAGGTGCGTAGGACTGCGGAAAAGGGGGTCTGCCCTTGTCGCCCTTTTCTAGATCCGACATGATGGTCAGGAAAGCTCGAACACCCACGACCATCCTGTCCGGGTCGAGCTGCTCAATCTTCAATTCCTTGTTGGAGGTGAAGAGATCGGCATTGATCAGAGGGAAAACGACGGTCCGGAAGCAGTATTCCGGATGTTTGTACCCAACAAACCGGATGATCTGAATGAGGGGATCGATAACCAGAGTATCCGTGGCACTAAAGGTTCTTTTGGCGCTGGGCAGAACTATCTTCAAGACGTCGTCGAGCTTCTTGGTCATGCCGGAGGAGCTATCGTTGGTGCGATAGAGGTAGGTCCATACCAGCCTGGATATGACCTGCAAGCATAGCGGCCTCGTGTAGCGGTCCTTGAGACGCGGCTGAATAGGGTAGATCAACTGCAACCACTGGCTGACAAATGTGTCGGGAGGCGAGATGCAGAGCATTGTGGCCGTCAGCGGAAAAGTGTACTGCCAGTGGCGCGGCTTGACAAACATCTGGGCCAGGCGGGGCCCGATCATGGCCAGTACTTCGTTCCATCTTGGGTGCGCTATGTCACTGTTGGTAGCTTTGGCAGCTATTGGAAGCAGGAGCATATCGAGGACCTGACAGAAGGCCGATTTTACCTTGTGACCATGGGACCGGCTGAAGAGCTTCCCGAGAGATGCCATGAAAGTACACGAGCGCTCCCATGCTTCCTCTGGAGCTGTTTTCAGCCGGAGATGCTTCATGCCGCCCAACACGAGCTCTATCTTGTTCTCGATATCCCGAGACGCCGACGTTGGGCTCTTGGCAGCCAGCTCCTGTAAGGAACGGTCCAGGTCGGCGAGGAAGCGGTCAGTCACTGTGGTGAAGCTAATTTCGCTCATGGCGCCCATGAGCTGCGCAAAGAGATTCCAGTTGGATAATTTGAGGGGTGACGCCATCAGCTGTTCCGTCTCGGAGATCTTGAGCTGCCCGAAAATAATGTTTTCCAATTTGTCCTCCATTCCTACCGTGATGGAAGCCAGCGTGCTTTGCGATATGACCTCGAGGAGAACGCGGCAGAGAATGTATATAGAGACGGTGGAACGGCGCTCGGCCTGGGCAACATACTCCTGCTTCGCTGCTAGTGACATGTGCGCACCAGGAGGGCCCTCAGGAGCTGTGCCGGGAGCAGTAGACTGGACCGGTTCCGTATTACGCCTTTGCAGCGGTCCTGGGGGAGGAGGGTAGATGCGCGACTGTTGGAGCTGGGTACGGGCTTCATTGGCGGCATCGCTCTTGCTTTTCCTCCACAGCATCACGGCGTCAATTAGCGGCTTGGGCTTTTGCTTGGCGATGTGTCCTAGGGCCACGATGAGCTGGTCAAAGGCACGGTCGACTCCAGGGCCGCAGATCTGTTCAACCTGAGGTTCCGGATCAAAGGGAACGGTTATGCACTCGTTGAGCTTCTCCTCGGCTTGGGCGATGAAGGAAGTAAACAGGACATGGAGAGCATACTCGCCAACCGTCTTCTGGTCGTCCCTGTGATGGCGTGACGAATGCGAAGGGTGGTGAGCATGGTCGCGCCGCGTCTTGCTGCTTTGCCTCCTCTCCAGCTTTCCTCGAGCAGCGGCCTGGCCGGAAGCATCGCCTGCAGCGGCCGATGAGCTTCTTTCAGGGACATTGGGCATCGAAGCGAGAGTTGTCCCGGAGAGAGCAGTGCCTGGCCGCGGAGCCAGCGTGCCATCACCGTCCAGCCTCGGAAAGCCATGCATCTCAGCCCTGTCGGGAGTGAGGCCCGCTGCTGCAGCGATCATTTGTGGGCTAAGGGGACTGGACGTCGAGCTGGCAAAGCTCCCATTCCTCGAGTGGTGAATCCCTATGCCATGTACGATGGATGTCTGCCTGTGATGGCCGTACGAAGACGCTTTGGGATCGACGGCTCGCTCCATCACGCCGCCGATGGCGCTGCGCGAAGGGGGCGCATGGGTCCGGACTTGTGGGAGCTGCCCGGCGAGGTCGGGTCGTTGGAGCTTCTCGATGGACGACTCGCGAGAATGGGCGACAGGACGTATAGTCTTTTGCCAGTCTTCATCCTCCTCGTCGAGCCGGGTGACAGCGCGGGGTGAGAATTTCAAAGGCTCATGGTCCGGCAGCGTCGTCTGGGACGGAGCTAGGCGCCTAGTAGTTAGCATCCCATTTCATTCAACGGACGGTATTTCACAGCGAGCTACAGGTGAGCCGTGAGCCGTCATGGCCACACTGGCACACTCTCTGTTGCGCCATGGCGGAAGCCCAGGTGGAGTGCTAATCGACGACACGGCAGGCTCCGGAAAATGGCGGGCCTAGCAGGGAGAGCAAGAGACGGAGGACGGGAAAGGGAATAAGAAATATCCATTGGCAAGGGAAAACTCACCCATTTTCCAGAAGCCACGGCTTGCATGATACGCCCTGGGGGTTTTGCAATGCAGCAGCTTACCGACACAATCTTGCAAGATTGATGAACGCGCTGTGGTAACTTAGTTGACCGTCAAATGTCACCAAATTCTCGGAGCCTGTGCCGAGTGTGCTGGACAAACACCAGATGATCCACCAGCCATGATTCCCGCTGCAGGGGCATTGGATTGGGCTTGAAGCAGCCAATGAAGGGAGGGACGGCCCCTGAAACTTTGAGGTGAGGTCAGCCGACCAATCACAGCATAGCCCTGAGTCCCTGACTCCCCGGAACACAGGAAGAAACGGCCCAACGGGGCAGCGAGTCCAGCCGCCCAAGAGATTCTGTCCTCACCTAGGTGAGGGTACCTTACACTAAAAGCCTTCGGTGTGCTGTCCGTTCTTTGCGTTCTGTTGTCCAAGGGCATTGCAACACTTGCAGCTCCATGCGTCCATCCATACACCTGCTCACCGCACGCAATGCCCCGTCCAAGATATCCTCATCCTAATTAGGTTTGAGGCGATGCCTAGTAAGACAAGGACTGAGGTGCTGCGATTAGGGCTAACTTTTGTAGTTCGGAGTAAGAGGTTATCTTTGAAGGAGCCAGCTTACCGGTGCCCTGTGACAGCTAGTACTACTTCAACAATCTCCCGCCAACACCAGCTCCTACGAATACATACATGTACTCTTCGTACATATTCGAGTTTGTTAAAACAGGGCAGTTCGGGAGTGAAGGCGACCCACGATCGAGGCGGGGCCCGGCCAACAAAATCGGGCGATACCCCTTTACAGCAAATCCCGACTGCTTCACGATTTGTATGCCCGATCTACACACATGTCGGATCGGAAAGGCCGAAAGTGCCCGGACCAGTGTCACTGGAAGCAATGAGACGACTCGTAATATATACGCAGAACTACGCTGCCAAACAAATCTCCAGGTCCAGGCTTACCTAGGCCGGATTCCACATTCGAAATTCGAAGCCATGAATGCGGATAACACAGCGGTATTGCCTGCCGGCCGGGGTTCGTGCCTCCACACCTCTCTTCTCCAGCCCCCGGTGTCTCGTGGCCACACACCACGCACGGCATACTTCAGTACTTGGTACCGGAACCCGAATCATAACGTTACCCGCTAGCGCATCGGCGGCTCTAGGATGATCGAGACCGGCTTGTGCCTCCATACAGATGGATAGGCAGGAGGGGAACTGGGAAAAGTCATGGTAGCCGACGGCCCCCACTTCTGTACGGATACACTACACAGGTCGCAATGGGCGGTGGCTCATGGCTAACCTCGAGGCTCAAGCTAACCAAAACACCTGCGCAGCAGAATGTGGCCAGATTATCTGCTGCGATGGCGGCGGAAAATGCCGGGAGGAAGCGAGGTTATCTTCCTCATCTGCCACACGCTGGCAGGGTTGATGTGGCGGCGTCGCTACCGAGATCTCGCACGCCGAGTAAGCGGCGGGGTCCGCGGGGAAGGGCCTTCGCCCCTGTGTCGTCTACCGAAACCGCGGTCCTCCCTTCCACCACTTTCCACCGGCAATCCTCACAGGTGCGGCACCGGCTGGGTTGACGAATACCACAGTATCATTACTGGATGAAGTGTCAACGTCAAACTGATAATAATCCGACCCGGCGTAGGGGGTATTGTATGGTAACCAACAGGTATCCCGTGTATTTCTGGAAGACACGAGGCTTCCCATTATTCACCGCTTCAACGCTACATAAATGGCAGAACTACCGAGTACTCCTTGGGCCAGAAACGTATCCGGAGTCTGTATAGAATCAAGTGGCCGTGATTTGCATGTGCAATCTCTGGTCGTACTCCGCAAGTCCTCTAGGTCAACGCTGACACAGACATACATACGGAGGATGGGGCCAAAAGTATTTGGCAGATTCCTCTTGCCAAGACTGGCTTGCCAAGCTCTCAACACAGTAAGGTTGGCACAGTTCCACCAAGCCACATACATTGGCCACTGTAATCCAATAGTCAAGCCCACTAATAGGGCGAATTACAGGGCCACATCAGTGCCAACTTCAGCGCCCACTTAAGTCTGGGATTTGCGAGGGAACGCTATCCCCATGAAAAATACAGTGCGTCTCTCTCCCTCTGGCTTCTCACACGTTGATAGGCTTGGCACCAGCATGAAGCTGCCAAATACTTTTGGCCCCATCCTCCGTATTCTCCTAGACTCCTGCTGTGTTACCGACTTCGATGATACGGTACCTAATCAAAAATTGCTCTGTTAGCTGAACGTGTGAGATCTGGGTTTCTCAATCAGACGTATCGTAGGCCACTGCATCGATCTACCCTGACTGCTAAGACTTGTCTGAAATTCTGGATTGGGTCGGTGTAATGGTTCGTACATGTTAAGGCGGGCTGTCCTTGGCATTCAAGACGGTAACGTTAAGTCATCCAGGATTCCAGGCGGGACTTTTCCGATAAGCCAGCCGTGGGCTGATAATTGCTGCAGTTGCAGTGGGTGAATTGTGAAAGTCCCGGGGCCTTGGACCCTCAGCGACTCGCCGACTCACTGCCTCACCGGGACATGCATATGTCCTCTTGCAGCTTGTCGAGCAAAGAACCAATACAAATCGTAAAAAGAATCTGTCCTTTTGGGCCCTTCTTCCATCCTACGATCTGTCTCCCCTTTTCCCTTACCCCTACTTTGCCCTTCAAGTTCTTAACCCTTTCTGCACTTTTTGTCTTTGGCACTGTACTGTGTAAGCATACTTAACATCGGATACACATCCGTGCGTGGTCCGTTCAATCCATTGCCTGCCTTAGGTAAGTACATACACTACCCTACCTACCGCCTACCTTACCTAACATCCTTCGTAGTCGTTTTCGCTTACACCTGTGCCACAGCTGCGAATGAACCCGCTGCGCCATCGTTGGCTCAGAACCATCCAGCTTCTTTTTCTTTCCACTCCACCAAAACTGCGCTGCTGCTGAGTAGTGGCCAGACACCTTCGTTTTCCTTCGCGCTGGACATCGGATTGGTGCTGGGTATCCATATTTGCGGCTAACGTTTTCCCGCTCCTATCCGATCTGGTCTCTTCCACTCTGCAGCGGCCCTTTTTAAATAGGGATAGAGAGACGCACTCGGCCGAATCCCGGCGCCGACCCAGGACGTCGCTGTATTCTTATCCCGCTCAACTCGCAGCCCGCCTCCAGCGTGCACGCGGCCCACGCTCCCCCACGCGGCCGTCGAAATGGCCGAACTCGACACGCTGGACATTATTGTCCTGACCGCCATCCTCCTTGGGACGGTGGCCTACTTCACCAAGGGCAAATACTGGGCTGTCCAAAAAGACCCCTACGCGAACTCGTTCGCCGCTGCCAATGGCGCCAAGGCGGGAAAGACAAGAAACATTGTTGAGAAGATGGAGGAGTCGGGGAAGAACTGCATCATCTTCTATGGGTCGCAAACCGGCACCGCGGAGGATTATGCATCGAGGCTAGCAAAGGAAGGCAAGAGCCGGTTTGGCCTCGAGACCATGGTCGCTGATCTCGAAGACTATGACTACGATAACCTGGATGCCATTCCCAGCGACAAGGTGGTCATGTTCGTGCTTGCAACCTATGGCGAAGGCGAGCCTACGGACAATGCCGTCGAATTCTACGAGTTCATCACCGGCGACAGCCCCTCTTTCTCTCAGGACAACGAAGTCCCTCTTGGAAACCTCAACTACGTGGCGTTCGGCTTGGGCAACAACACGTATGAGCACTACAACTCGATGGTCCGCAACGTCAACAAGGCGCTTCAAAAGCTAGGCGCCAACCGCATTGGCGAGGCCGGTGAGGGTGACGACGGTGCCGGCACCATGGAAGAGGATTTCTTGGCCTGGAAAGAACCCATGTGGAAGGCCCTGGCCGAGAAGATGGGCCTGGAAGAGCGCGAGGCTGTCTACGAGCCCATCTTCGGCATTATCGAGCGCGACAATCTCACTCCCGAGTCTCCCGAAGTCTACCTTGGCGAGCCCAACAAGATGCATCTCGACGGAACCCCCAAGGGACCCTTCAACGCCCATAACCCCTACATTGCTCCCATTCAGAAGTCTTATGAACTGTTCAACGTCAAGGACCGTAACTGCCTGCACATGGAGGTTGATATCAGCGGCACCAATCTGAGCTATCAGACCGGTGACCACATAGCCGTCTGGCCCACGAACGCCGGCGAGGAGGTCGACCGCTTCCTCAGCATATTTGATCTCGTCCACAAGCGCCACAATGTCATCAGCGTCAAGGCGTTGGAGCCCACCGCGAAGGTGCCCTTCCCAACGCCCACCACCTTTGACGCAATCGTCCGCTACCACATGGAAATCTGCGCCCCGGTCTCCCGTCAGTTCCTCGCCACCCTCGCCGCCTTTGCTCCGGATGAGCAGTCCAAGGCCGAGATGACCAAGCTCGGCAGCGACAAGGATTACTTCCACCACAAAGTCAACGCGCACCACCTCAACATTGCTCGCATTCTGGAAAGGGTCAGCAAAGGAAAGAAGTGGACCAACGTTCCATTCTCGGCTCTTATCGAAGGTCTTACCAAACTGCAACCCCGTTATTATTCCATCTCGTCCTCGTCTCTTGAGCAGCCCAAACTCATCTCTATCACTGCCGTGGTGGAGAGGCAGGAACTTCCTGGCCGCGAGGATCCCTTCCGGGGTGTGGCAACCAACTACCTCTTGGCTCTCAAGGAGAAACAGAACGGCGATCCCAATCCGACACCCTATGGTTTGACTTACGAGATCATGGGCCCTCGCAACAAGTACGATGGTATTCACGTCCCGGTTCACGTTCGCCACTCCAACTTCAAGCTCCCGTCGGACCCCACCAAGCCCATCATCATGGTCGGCCCTGGTACGGGTGTCGCGCCTTTCAGAGGTTTTGTCCGCGAGCGGAAAAAGATGGTCGAGAATGGCCAGGAGATTGGCAGGAGTATATTGTTCTTTGGCTGCCGGAAATCGACCGAGGACTTTATGTATGCGAAGGAGTGGGAGGTATGCATGATTTTCCCCTTAGTAGAAAAACCTAGCCTCTCTAACCGTTGCCGCAGGAAGCCAAGCAGGCAATGGGCGACAAATTCGAGCTTGTCACGGCTTTCTCTCGTGAAGGGCCCAAGAAGGTCTATGTTCAACACCGGTTGAAGGAGCGAGCCAAGGAGGTCAACCAGCTACTAGAACAGAAGGCTTACTTCTATGTCTGTGGTGACGCTGCCAATATGGCTCGCGAGGTCAATGCCGTCCTAGCGCAGATTATCGCTAGTGAACGTGGCATCCCCGAGGCCAAGGCCGAGGAGATTGTCAAGCAAATGAGAGCCTCAAACCAATACCAGGTACGTTTCTTTTGAGCCTTACTGTGGCGTCACGGGTGCTAACCATGACAAACAGGAGGACGTGTGGTCGTAAATATACAGACGGCCCGCAAGAGCCCGAACAGCAAAGGCGCCAGGTCAGATCAGCGTAGCGATTTTGCATGCGGGAGCCATTGGGAAATAAATAGAAGGGGTCAGGCTCGGCTGGCTTTTAACATGTTGTCTAGAATAATGCCTTTTCCTCTCCCTCGGACTTTGATAGCATCTGTCCGAATACTTTTGGTTTAGCTCTTCTCCGAATGGAAATCAAATGACGCATACCCCCGGCTGATATGGATCCTCGGAATGCACACGTCGGATGCCAAGGGGTTAACCAAACGTACTGTACTGTACATGGAGTGCTCTTTTGGCCCTGAGTATGTACAAGCCTTCCCCTCCCGAAACGAAAATGTTCGTTGTGTTCATCTGGCACCCCGAAACTGTGGCTGATCCCCGCTTTCTTTCTTGCAGCCCCAAATCTTGAACGGCCTCTTTCCGACTGGGCACGAGAATTTCTAGATCAAGATTGGCCAGAGCCATGTGAAATGTTGAGGGTGGCGGACCGTGTGCATGTCCGACTGTCTCGGAGCCAGGGGCCTTCTTGGCATTGGCTACATCAACGTCTTATGTACCTACATACACTTATTTACATACTCCGTACATGGTTCCCTGAATGCACAAGACAGCCAAAAGGAAACGAGGGCAAACTTCTCATCTGCGGTACGTACAACATGAGAGCTGCCATTTCTTTCCCCTTACTTCGTACCAAGCTGAACGAGCCATGTCCGGTGCTTGCGAACTACTTGTGTGATCAACTTGCTTTTGTGGCCACCCCTTTGCACACGCACGCATACGAAGTAGTTAGGGAAGCAGAAGGAAAACCATGTCCTGAGCATTGCACCTGAGGCTGATACTTTTCACAAGCCAAAGAAACGGTTTTCCTTAAAGCGAAGGCTGGGCGGGAAGCGAGATGTCATACTCCGTACCCTGAATGTCATCACCAACCGCAATCTCTCCCGGCAGCGGCCTTTGGCAATGCTGTGGGAACCCAACCGTGCAGAACTATACACAGTAACAAGTGGTTGGGGGAAAAATCGTTAAGGGCAGCACACCACCGGCGAGTCCCTTCGTCCCGATTCCCTGGTCTCTGGGTATCCGAGACAACCTCCCTGCTTGACTGGCCAATGGCCATGGGATGCTCTCAAGCCACGGTGCCACAGTATGGATGCAAGAGTGTCTGTATCATGTCTTCTTGCCTTACTCGCGAGTCCTTTTGCGATCCGTCACACGTACATTCATACCTTACATATCCAGATCGGCCGTTCTGCATGGCCTTCTCTTCAGGACATGGCTGACGAACCTAATCAGGGGCAAGCTATGGTTGATCCCGTTACCCATCTTTGATCAAGCCATGTGCTCCCCAACCTTACCCTTTCCCTTCCCACCGTTGGCCTGGGTAGCCATCGGCTCGGAAGCTCTCGCTCTCCAAGTAAGCTATGGTGTGCCTCCCAGCATGCCTTCGAGCATCCTTTCCAGTAGGAAGCCAACCTTAGATTTAGGCATTGCTCGTGACAAAGCACCTGCTTGCATAAACTGTCTCCCGGTGCACATTCTGGGGTGTGGCGCAACCTCTTTGCTTGCCGTATATGTGGTAAGCATCTCCCCCTTACTCTGTCCACTTCTTTCTTTCTTCCCTTCCCCCCAAGCATGCCTATTCACGCTCCCTAACATAACTAGTATGGTATCGACTTAGTACTGTAGCTTTATCTCGCTTTGTTCTAGACGTGCGGCAAGTCAACTTGCTCGGGGGTGATGTTTCATGCCCAAGTTGCGCGCTTGTATCTGTTAGACACTCCTAAGGTGTGCCATTGGTGAGGTTGATTTCTTCTGGCAGAGCTTTCGTGGATGACATCTAATCATGGTGTTCGAACAGGGCGAGACCGAGCGGAAAGGAGAGCACTGCATTGCCAGAATATATTTACTTGTCCCCGAGCGGCTTCCCTACCGAGCAGACTCGTCAGATTCATTGCTTCTGTGTCTGTCCAAGGAGACAGACCTTATGAAGCAAGCGAGCCTCTGCTGATATTGCGGCCGATGTGCCTGGAGCATACAACCCAAACGTATGTACGAGACCTCTTAACGTACATTTGCTTACCTTGCATCACCCTACAAGACCATATGGAGAAAGTCATGTCCAGGTGTTTCACAGCTGAGCAGGTGTAGTAAGACTCTGCACCGAGATTGCATTCCCCGCTTGGGTGAGGACGAATGGTGATCCGGACCCTTGGTTCCTCTGATAAGGCTGGAGAAACCGAGAGGGCGGTAGCACCTTCCAAGTTCTTGGTGCAGACTCTGGAACTTCCTGAAGCGTGGAGTCGAGCCCCAATCCGCCAGCCCGGGTCTTCACCAGCCTCGCTCTTTCAGCCTCGCTCCTTCCGCCCCACGCGAGACGACCTCACCCTACGCCGTGCCTTCCTTACAAGGTAGCAACATCTTCAGATACCTTACTTCAGGTATCTCAACCTGGTGTGAATTTCCTCTCACCCAACAACTTCCACCAAAGATATTCGACTGCGCCAGAAGACTTCCCTCAAGGTTGGCATTATCACTGCGACCCTGCTATTCCCTTTGGGTCTTCCAGGTGAGAAAGAGCAGTATTTCCTTGATTTCGTTGCTACTTCCATGATTCTTTCCTTTCGCGATCCTTGTCGACGAGGTCGTCGCTTCCACTTGGACGCGTAAATACACCAGTGCCTCGTCGATGCTCCACGTTCCTTCTTCGACTGTCAGTCCCGCTCTCGGCAAGCCGAGAGGATAGCTGTTTTGTACGGAAGGAACACCAGCCGCACTCGTCTGCACTGCTTCACGTCCTCGGCGGCTTGCCCAGGTTCAAAAACCCTCCTCCACTTGCGCACACTTGGACTTTTTGGCTTCTCTCCTTGTGGACTGCTTCCGATCTTTAAAGCATCAACACCATCCCGGCCACCACATTCTCTTCCATTCATCTTGCTGATAGCTTGTTCTATCCTCTTACCCCCGGCACTCGCTTGCAGAATCTTTGGTTCTAACGTCTCCGTCGTTAAGCGGTCCGATTTCTTGTCATCAAGCATCTCTGCTACAAGCACCCCAAAGATTCATTTTGGAGGTGAGTCTTGATTTTCTTCGACGCGTTGTCCTGTGCGTTCTCGGGGTTTTCCTTTTGGAAGGCACGCGTATTTCCAACCTCTCGAACCCTTCGAGCTTTCCTCTCTCCTCTTTTGTGTCGCTTTGCCTTTCTACCTGCACATCGCCAATCTTTACAGCTATTCCATCTTGCGACTTTCTGCTGTTCTCTACATTCTTTGTGCACCGAGTCTATTAGCCCGGTCCTTCAGCATCGTCTCCCTGGCACTACACAGGCGGCTGGTACTGGTGGCCTTCCTCTCTCGCGACGACTGTACCGCAAGGTGTGTTTTTGATGTAATCCTCGTTTTCCGTTTCAGCGGTTCTCTCGGAATGGTTGAAGCTGGCTTGCTTGGCTCGTGGCATATTGAATATGAATTCAAGTCTAGCGTCATATTCCTCCGTGCCTCGACGACCGCGGCAGCAGCCATCGTTGCTAACCAAGGGGTGTCAGATGACGCATTATCGCCCGACCGCCGCTATGGCCGATGCCACTGACGAGCGCCAGAGAGCGTATTCTGCCTACCTGAGCGCTCAGTTGGGCAATGGTCCCCAGCCTGATGCCTCTGCCAACCGTGGCCATCATGTTAATCACCAGTCGGACGTCATGGGCGCTGTTATGAACCAGTTCAGCACTCTGGCTCTCCCTGCCGGTTCCAACATACAGGGTGCCTCCGCTTTGACCCAGGTTCAGGCTCACCATGCATACTGTCCTGGTCAGGACCAGTCCGTTGCCTACCGGAGTTACTCTGTTCCCTTGCACGTTGGAGTAGTCCCAGAGGCGGCATATGCGTTTGGCGTGTCTGGCCAGTTCCCGGTTCAGGGTAACTTTGCAGCTCTGCCAATCTCGTATCATGGCTTGCCATATACCCCGGGCCGAATTACCTCCTATGCCGACCGCAGCAGTGAGGCTGTTCCCGGTTTGGAGAACCGCCGCGGTTCGTACTCCACGACCGAGTCGGCGCCGGCCACGCCGTTTTTTGGGGGCGCTTCGGAGCGCGGCGGTGCCCCGAGAGTCGCTCTTTTCCCCTCCAGCTACACGACTCCATCTCCAGAGCAGGTCGTCATGCCCGCTGCAGTCCCCAAGGCCTCGCAGCCCATTGATGAGGAGATTCTCGCCCTCCTGAAGCAGGACCCTCCAATTCCCGACGCTGTTCCAGCTGTGTTCACCCCTCCGACCCACATGAAGACCATCGAGCAGTGCCTTGAGAACAGGATCCAGGGAAATCGCAATGTCTACATTCGGGGCCTTCACCCGACCACCGACGACGAGCTTCTGCTCAAGTATGCTTCTCGTTTTGGTAAGGTTGAACAGAGCAAGGCCATCATTGACACCTCCACCGGTGCTTGCAAAGGGTAAGCTTCCTTCACTGTCCACATCGAGTCAAACTAACAGCCCCAAGATTCGGATTCGCCAAATTTGCCGATGTCCGTGACTCCGAGAAGTGCATCCGGGGCTTTTACCACCTTGGCTATGAGGTTGGCTTTGCTCGTGTAAGTCTTTCTTTGCTCTTCATCACCGGTCTTTCCCAGTTAACAAGGATATCAGGAGAGCTTCAATGCTAGACTCAAGGCAGAGGGTGATGAAACCTCGACGAACCTGTATCTCTCGAACCTTCCGAAGCGCCTCAACGAGACAGTATGTTCTGGTGTTCAATATTGCTCAGCATTGACCTGGTGGCTAACATTTGCAAGGAGCTCAACGCCATCTTTGCCGGCTATCATATCGTTTCCAGCAAGATCCTCCGCGACAGCATGGGCAACAGCCGTGGTGTTGGATTTGCTCGGTGAGCCATCGATCCTCAATATGTCCATTGCCCACAGTGGTAGCTGACTGCTCAATAGGTTTGAGACTCGTGAAGAGTGTGAGGAGATCATCAAAAAGTACCACGGTGTCGCCATCGGCGATGAGGGCTTGTTGATGCAGGTCCGCTACGCAGACACCCCGGCTCAAAAGGAGCTCAAGCGCATCACTGCCGAGCGACGCCAGTTTCGCACCAACGAGTACAACATTGGAGCATACGGCACAGCTGATGTTGGCATTCATCCCAGCATCTACCAGACAGCCCCCTGGGGCCGCCGTGCCGGACCGGGATCTAACACGTGTGTCGCCTTTTACTTGGGCCGCTGGATGGGCTTCATGGCTAACTTGTCACCAGACCCTTTGCTCCCCGTTTGTCGATTCGCACCAACCTCAGCAGTGGCAGCGGAGCGGCCATGACCACGGCACAGGATATGGATAACACCGTCAAGTATGGATAACCCCAGCGTCACCGCTGACACACTTGGTTTACATACTCATTCAATTACAGGAAGAGCATCTCTGTCTCCGGAACCCCGTCATCCGATGACGGATCGGCTGTGGCCGGTGATGCCATCGACTCTCCTACCGCAAAGAAGGGCAGCACCCAATCGTCCCCGACTTTCAAGAAGGAGAAGCGCTAGGCGGCCGTGGACGCTTTGCCTGACCATCTCTACTTGTTGGCGGCATTTCAGACCTTGTTGTGCCACATGACTTTCCCTATCTTGGTGGCCTGTGTGTGGATATCGGATACTTCACTATCGTCATTTCCTTTCTTACTTTGATCACAACGGCACGCTGGGATCGGCGGTGTCGATCTTCTCGGTCAAAGTGGTTTATCAGCTCGCATAACAACTCTATGTCGGATGCGGTCAAAAATCATATATCCTGAGATCGGCTGTGTGGAGGCGGTGGCGGGAGTGAGCGTGGACAGCCATTATAGTTCTCATTGTTTTTACTCTCTGCCCAGCATCCACTGGAGTGAGTGAACCTGACCAAGTCGAGCATAGCAATATCAATCGAATTGAAGATCTTTTACAATTCGGACGAGTCAGTGTCATTCCATTGCTGCTTGTGCCACTGGTGGTTATGCAGGCATGTTGGTGACGGATAAGTTGACTGCAGCAAGAGGAATCTGGAGTTCAGCCCGCGGAAGGCTTCCAGAGCAGGACGTCAAGCGAGAGGCGGATCATAAGCTGTTTGTATTCAAGTCTCATCATTGATTGTAAGTTTCTGCATCTCTCCTTCAGTCTCTAATGGGATATGGCTACCGATGATGTGCTGTCCCTCGGCAGCTTCAGCTCCATTTACACCCTCGTCGCTATCCTTCCCTTCGTCCTCCTCATCAGAACTATCCTCTAGGTCATCTGATTCGGCCCCATTGCTTTTTGAATTGGCTTCCTGTTCTCGAATGGCGGCTTCAAGATCCTTGGCCATCTTCTTCGTGAAGCCTGACGCCTCCACGGCGGCGTCTAGCCTCCTCGCACCGTCCCTGCCAACCGTCTTCTTGGCATCCTTGAAGAGTGGACCAGGTGCTGTGCTCACGAAGTGGAATCGCCGCTCGAAAAAGAGCTTGATGCAGTTGACATCGCGGTCAAAATACATTTCGGCGTTTGGGTGGTCCATGGAAACCATTTGGGGAAAGTCAATTATAATCGGGGTGAGCGTGAGGTCGTCGGCGGCGGCATCGCCAGGCTGCTTGTCCTCACGGATGAGGATATTGAACTCGTTGAAGTCGCCGTGGATGAGCCCGTGCTTGGCCAGGCGGAGGATGAGCGCTATCAGGTCGGCGTAGAGGCCGGCCGGGTCCGGCACGGCCGAGATCTGCCGCAGCGGCAGCGCATCGATCAGCGTCATGACGATGGTGTGCCGCGACTGGGCAATGGGCTCGGGCACGGGGAAGCCCTCTTCCTTCAGCGCCTGCATGAAGGCGAATTCCTTTATGGCGGCGAGCCGCGACAGGTACATCCACGAGGCGGACGCGCGGTTCTTGAGGTAGTCACGGTTGGCCTTGACGGTGCGGAAAGAGATACGGCCTAGGCGGTGGATCTTGAGGACCTTTTGGGTACCCTTGTCGTCGGCCACGATCATGATGTCGCTTTCTTTGCCGACCCCGATGCGGCTGCCGACGCTGTAGACGTGCTTGCGCTGCGCGTGCGTGTGCAGGGCGAGGTAGTCCAGCCCGCCGTAGGTGAGCCGGTAGCCGTCGTACTTGGCCTCCTTCATGCGCGCAATCAAGCCGACCTTGGCGAGGGCTGAGATGGACTTGTGCACGCCGCTGGCACCACCCTTGAGGCGGGCAATCTTCTCGATCAGGGGCGTTGGCACGATCTCGTGGTTCTTGCTGCCCATTTCTACCTGTGATAACAAGGAGCCCGTGTCAGCAGGATGTATTGTTCTCTGTCAGAAAGGGAGGGGCAAAATTGGGAACGAACCGCCGTCAATACCCTCCAGTCCTCCGCCGTCAAATGGCGCATGGCCTTTGTATCTAACTTCATGTTTCTGACTTTACTCTGCAAGCGGTTTTCTGGGTGCTTGGTTAGGTAGTAGAGTACTCTCCTGGAGGAAGGAACTGCTTGAGAACCAAATGACCATGGAACCCCACCAATCTGTGGTGTAAGTCAGGTTTCCACCTCAAAATTCACAGCTCACAACGCTGATAACATTACCGATAAGATAAATGCTAAGCAAACGTTAATTCGCAGGGTAATGATGGCATTGCCCAGGGGAATCTGGATCCGTAGTTGAACGGATTTTCTACGGGCCGAGCTTACCGCACCAGGCGCGGCAGGTACTCCGTACTGTACGGGGTACATACATACCGAAAACATTATTCTGTGAGAGCAAGAATGTTATTCTGTGAGAGCATGTGGCGCAGTACACTGCACATGCTCCTCCCCCCACTCTTTTACAGGAAGGAAGAGCAAGCCATATACTTGTACACATTCGACTTTTGCATACCTCTAAATGGCAAATTGAAAACCCAAAATTTCAAATACCTTTGAGCGGATTGAGCCATCAATCTTGTGCACGCATCGATGACCTTGGGTAGGTTGACGAGGTACCAGTCCGAAAGCTCGGTGTTGAAGCTCGGGCTTAGGAATTGGAGCAAGGTTGCCATTGCTTACATAAGCCCACATTGATTCTTCACAACAAGGTACAGATGCAGCAAAGGAATTAGGGATACACTCATTACACTATTGCGAATAGCTTCATTAGGCAGTCGCTTAGTTTGTAGGATGATGGAAGTCTGTAAGGTGGCCTACAGTTGAAATCTTGTGGTGGGTTGTGGCGGATTTGGCTGGGCGTTGAGCCACAAGATACGTATTGCTCTCACAGCATATTATTTTTGCTCTCACAGAATAATGGATTCGCATACATACATACAGTAGTGTACTGGGCAACAGCCAGCGCCAAGCCAGCCAAGGCTACTGTAGCTCAGTGGAGCACCAGGAGCACTGACCGCAGCTGGGTGGTGCGCCTCGCCTCCAGGCGGCAAGCAGCATCGCGTAACCACAAGCTGCCTGGCGGCCCTGGCCTCCCACATCCAGCCCAGCGCTCGGCGAATTTGCTAAGCTTTGATTCCGTCCCCCAATTCCACACTCGCACCCGACTAAATCAAACGAACAACACCACATCACCACCTGCTTTGATCAAAGGCCCAAACCGACACTTTGAACTGGAGACGACGGCCATTGCCCCTCGATATCGTAGGACTCTACAGCCTTCACATCTTGCCCAACCTAGCTGTGGGCCTCCCCACTGTCCGAGATCGAATATCCAACCATGGCGCAAGACAGCGATCTCTCCAAGTCCCTCGACAAGGGCAAGGGAAAGGCCGTCGATAATGAGCGCAAGACGGACGAGACACAAAGCGACAAAGCTGGGAAGCCCGTAGCTAACGGCAAGAAGGACGACGACAAGGCTGAGTGTTTGTGTTCCATCTCTGCGATGTCCTAGCATGTCTCAATCCCGCCTAACCTGACCAACCTCTAGCTTCAGAAGAGCTTAGCGAAGAGGACCAGCAATTGAAGAGCGAGCTTGACATGCTCGTTGAGCGGTTGACGGTGCGTAGCTGCACTCTCCCCGCCAACCCATAAACTCCTTCTAAACTGCTCTATTGTCATCGCAGGAATCCGATGCCACACTCTACAAGCCGGCCCTTGAGGCCATGAAGACCTTCATCAAGACGTCGACATCCTCCATGACGGCGGTTCCCAAGCCCCTGAAATTTCTGCGTCCGCACTACGAGACTATGACAAAGCTCTACGACGATTGGCCGGCGGGCGATGACAAGAACTCACTGGCCGATGTGCTCTCTGTCATCGGCATGACTTACTCCGATGAGGATCGCCAGGATACCCTGAAATACCGGCTCCTCGCGCCCACCCAGGACATCGGCTCATGGGGCCATGAATATGTTCGCCACCTCGCGCTCGAGATCGGCGAGGTGTACGGGAAGCGCATTGCTTCGGACGAGCCAACTGCTGACCTGGTTGATCTTGCGCTGGTGCTCGTACCCCTCTTCCTCAAGAGCAATCAGGAGGCTGACGCTGTGGACCTGATGAGCGAACTGGAGATCATCGAGAAGCTTCCCGAGTTTGTTGATGAAAACACATACGGGAGAGTCTGCCTATACATGGTTTCTATGGTCAACCTCCTCACATACCCTGACAACGAGCAGTTCCTCCGCGTAGCACACAGCATATACAAGACCTACAAGCAGTACACCCAGGCGATGGTGCTCGCAATCAGACTCAACGACCTTGCGCTAATCGAGGCCGACTTCGAGGACGCGCCAGATCCCGCGCTGCAGAAGCAGCTCGCCTTTCTGGTGGCCCGCCAGAGGATATGGCTGGAATACCCTGACAGGGAGACCTCGGATGACGAGGAGATTGTGGAGTGTCTCTGCAATGTGAAACTACCAGATCACTTCAAGGCGCTAGGGAAGGAGCTCAACATTCTGGAGCCAAAGACAACCGAGGATATTTACAAGAGCCACCTGGAGAGCAGCCGTGTCGCCGGCATGACAAACTTCGACTCGGCTCGTAACAACCTCGCGGCCGCTTTCGTCAACGCATTCGTAAATGCCGGCTTCGGTAATGACAAGATGATGCTGGTTGAGAAAGACAAGGAGAGCTGGGTGTGGAAGACCAAGGAGGAGGGTATGATGTCCACAGTGGCGTCTTTGGGCACTCTGATGATGTGGGATATCGAAAACGGCTTGGATCAGGTCGACAAGTACACCTACGTCGAGGAGGAGCAGATTCAGGCCGGCGCTTATCTAGCGATTGGCATCATGAACTCCGGCGTCCGGCTGGACTCTGAACCTGCCATGGCTCTGCTGGCCGACACTGACAAGCTCAACAACAAGAACCCGCTCATCCGTGTAGCAGCCATCATGGGTCTCGGCCTGTCATATGCCGGCTCAAACAAGCAAGAAATCCTTCAATACCTCCTGCCCATCATTTCCGACACGACCCAGGAAATGCGGGTTTCGGCAATGGCCGCGCTAGCCTGTGGACTGGTGTTTGTCGGCTCTTCGGACCCCGATGTCAGCGAGGCTATCGTGAACACCTTGCTGGACGAGGACCGAAAGAGCCAGCTGACTGACAAGTGGACGCGCTTCCTGGCTCTCGGCCTGGGTCTTCTATTCTTTGGTCGCCAGGAGGAGGTGGATGTCATTCTCGAGACGCTAAAGGCTGTGGAGCATCCCATGGCGAAACCGACGTCGGTGCTCGCATCCATCTGTGCTTGGGCAGGCACTGGGGCCGTGCTCAAGATCCAGGAGTTGTTGCACATTTGTAACGAGCACATGGAGGAGTCGGAGGAGAAAAAGGGCGACGAGTTGCTGCAGGCCTACGCGGTGCTTGGCATCGGGTTGATTGCCATGGGTGAGGATGTCGGTCAGGAGATGGTGCTCCGCCATTTCGGCCATCTCATGCATTACGGAGAGGCAAATATCAGGCGAGCAGTGCCGCTGGCCATGGGTCTTGTCAGCCCGAGCAACCCTCAGATGAAAGTCTACGACACGCTCTCACGCTACAGCCACGACAACGACAACGATGTCGCTCTCAATGCCATCTTCGCCATGGGTCTTTTGGGTGCCGGTACGAACAACGCGAGGTTGGCGCAGCTTTTGCGGCAACTTGCTAGCTACTATCACCGCGACCAAGAATCGCTTTTCATGGTGCGCATTGCCCAGGGTCTCCTGCACATGGGCAAGGGCACTCTCTCAATTAGCCCTTTCCACACCGACCGCCAGATCCTCTCCCGCGTCTCGGCGGCGGGTCTGCTCACCGTCCTTGTAGCCATGATCGACGCCAAGCAGTTCATTACCTCCAGCTCACACTACCTGCTGTACTTTCTCGTCACCGCGATGCACCCGCGCTTCCTCGTGACGCTCGACGAGAACCTCAAGCCGCTGACGGTGAACGTGCGCGTCGGTCAGGCGGTTGACGTTGTCGGCCAGGCGGGTCGCCCCAAGACCATCACGGGCTGGCAGACGCAGAGCACGCCGGTGCTGCTGGCGCATGGCGAACGAGCCGAGCTCGAGGACGAGGAATACATCAGTCTGAGCAGCACCCTCGAGGGCCTGGTCATTCTGCGCAAGGTATGTTTGAACACGTTTGAACACAGTTGTGGCACTTTTCTTGAAATGGACATTGCTAACCGCGGGAACTTGTGCAGAATCCTGAATGGGACAATGGTAAATAAAATGGGAAAACGGGTGGTTCCCCGGGGACTTGAATTCGTCGAGTCAGGAAATATAGATGGGTCTTGGCTGAGGACAGTCGTGTCTGTGTATAATACATACATACAATGAGCCATCAGCTGTCGTCTACTTGATAACGGCAGACTGAGCCCCTGTGAAAGGGCAGCTTCGAGCGGTTTTTGGTTCCTAAAATGGTAGACCACGCCGGTATCGAGATTAGCATTGTTGACACTCTTGTATTCCCGTAGAGTTGAGTACACCGACTTCACGAGATGACAGATTGGATGTGAGCAAGGAATGCACTCCTGACATTCACATAGGATCTAATTATCTTTCTTCAAGCTACATCAGCGACGAATATCAGTTTGCTTGAGGGGGCTACCCGGTGGTGGTAATCACTCTACAACAGTAATTCAACTAGATCAAACATGGCTATCCCTTTCTCTCGCCTGAACCTTTTACCCAAACATTGATTTGCCCATGGATATACGCTCGCTACCCTTGACCAAATAAACGCTTTATGTTGACGTAGACACAGATGGAGACAAAAGGTGGGGTACTTGGACTCGGGACAAAAACAGGACAAGAAAAAAGAGAGACCGAAACGCCTTGCTTTGATCAAACCAACCAAGAAAGTAAAGGAAGAAGAGGAAGGAGAAGAAGAAGACCAATTCCGCATGCTGCAAGTGGAAGGGAGCCAAAGTTCGAGCCATCAATACATGGCGCGCTTTTCCTCTTCCTTCCCAACGCCACGCACGGAAACGAGGGTCTTGAAAACCTACTTCTTGATCCCAAAGATGTTCCTCTTCTTCTTCTCCTTGTCCTTCTTGCCTGACTTGCCGCCATCCGATCCGCTGGTGCCGGGACGGCTCCCGTCACCGCCCCCGCTGCTCAACGACATGGCGCCGAGGGCTTTCGTTGGGGGCTGCGGACGCGGGGGCGGCACGTGGCCGCCTGTGCCTCCCACGCGCTGTCCCGGCTGTCCTGGATGGTGCGGGTGCAAATGGTTCGGATGCGGCGCTGAGCCTGGAGCCGGGGCAGGCGGCGCGGGGCGTTCGGTCAAATGGGCCGGGGCTTTCGGGGGTGGGCGGTCCATTGGCAGGGCGAGGCGGCGGCGGTCGGCCTTGAGCATGCGCAGGTCGTCGACAAACTTGCCTGGGGTAACCATGTGAGTGGTGGCCAGGAAGACATCGCGGTTGTGCTTCTCTGAGACCTCGTAGCAGGCGCGCGACTCGGAGTAGGTGGCGCCGCCGGCGACAAAGACAATGATGCGCTGGCGGTTCTCGGTCTGGCGGCGGTTGGCCGACGCCCAGCGCGGTGCGGCGGACCGCAGGGACCCCTGGGCCGCAAGCGACTCCTCGGCGGCGTTTTGCGGCGGGACAGTGTATGGGAAGAGGTTGGGATCGAGCGTCCCCGCGCAGAGGTTCTCGAGCATGAGCTTGACTGCCGGTTCGAAGCGGGACAGCATGTACTCGTCACTGAGCGTGGAGGATTTGGTGTTTTGCTCGAAGAGAAGGGGTAAAGGTTGACTCTTCTCTTTGAGGTCGCGGAATGGACGGGCACCAAGCAACTCGAGATGTTCAATGGTCGCCTGGTCAAGACTGTCTCGCGATCGTTGCAACGACGCGTGCCATAGCAGTCGGGAGAGATCCTTTTCAATCATGCCCCCGCGGTAGAGCACATAGATGGCGATGAGGCGCAACCTGTCTGTCTCAGTGACATCCGGATCATCTAAGAGGCGGACTACTTGGTCCAGGATGTTCTTGGGCTTTTTACGATCCTCATCGAGACCGGTGGCCAGGGTTTGTTCTACTGAAGCGATATCCGAAAGCTTATGCTTTTGGAAGAGGTTCATGGCCTCCTGCGCCATGGTGAGATGCAGCGAGTAGGCCTGCTTCATCTCTTGAAACTGTGGCAGGCCTGCCAGCATGTTTCTGATGTCGTTCAGGCTTGCTCCGCTCGCGTCCTTGCCCGCAAGGCCGGGGTTCTGGTCGATGAATTTCTGGAAGTCGGCCATGAGTTTGTCGATTGTATCTTTCATGTGTTGATGTCTATTGGACACCCAGACGGGGTCCTTCTCCAGGATCTCCATGTCTTTTTCTTCAGCGTTCGCGGTGCCCTCATTGATAGTCATGTGAAATGTCAACTTGCCGTCATCCCGATCTTTTATGGGAAGGAGGTCATGGGCCATGGCTTGGTATGTGAATTCGTGCAGCAGGGGAGCCATCAAATCCATCGATCTGTCGGTGATGAGCAGCACAGATTGAGGCCGCGAGGTTTGGGGCGGGAAGCTACGGTCCCAGTTTCGGTAGCCATCTAACTCCTCTTGGACGAAGCGAGCAAGGTACATACACAATACTCTTGCTTCGTGCTTGAAGTGATCGGGCGGCTGAAAATAGCGGATTTTGGGCAGCTCTTGCAAGGTAATGCAGAGGGATGCGATCTGTTACATGTTCTTGTAAGCCCAAGGGTAGCTTTGCCCCCATACAGCCTGCTCGTACCTTGGATGCTAACGTGCGCAGATGCCTCTCCACAAGGTCGTTGCAGAGAGGGTTGTACAGGACAAGGAAGCTGTGGGGGTCCTGGAAGGTGACGAGGTGCGATTCGCGAGGGTAAAAGTTCACGAGCAGGAGCTCGGGGGGAGCTGGTGCAAACAGTGAGCAAGCGGACTCCCCGAGGAGCGCTAGGGCGTCATACCTCCCATTTGCCGCTTGAAGACATCAAGGCGGCGCGACAGCTGGGCAGGCAAGAGGCCGGTCCAGACTATGAAACTGCGCCTGTACCGGCCGCACTGGAAGTCGGCGAGGAGACAGTCGAGAATGTGTGGCTGGGGCGAGAGAATGTAAATTGCGTCTATGCCGGGGTTGTTATCCCTGCGCTCCTCGATGCGCTCGACATCTGGCTCCTATTCAGCACCGACCGACCTTTCTCGGGGGTAGAAGCAGGGGGCCATACTGGCTATATTGTGGTTCAGAATGTCATCTTCGTTGACAGTGCTGTCGACGATCTTCTTGGTGATTTCGTCTAGAATCAAGACTTTCCACTGGCAGGCACGCGTCTTGTCAGAGCTAAATGGCCGAAGCAACGACGGCAAGACGACGGAGCTAGGGGCTCGAGGCTCACCTCGTTTGGCGCGATTCTGCGGATGGTGTCGACAATCACTTTGCTCAACTGTTAGAATATTGCGCTATGGCCTGACGACAGACAACAGGCTATGACAGGACCAGAACATACCCTTGGAGTGCTCCTTGATGATCGAGAAGCCGTCCATGGCTGCGCGAGAAGGCCGCAGCCCACGGCAGCTCAAAGCTCAGGGAGCAGGAGACAGAGGAGACAGTGGAGGCGCCGACTGGGGAAATCGTAATAATCTGTTCGGACACGTAGATGTAAGATTGTATGATGGGGGAGGTACTAAGGTTATCTCCTAGCCTGCTAAGTCTTGAAAATCTAGTGTTGACAGCTTCGAAACACGGAGTTGGCAACTACTAGTATCCCTTATGCATAGCCGAAACCTGTCGTGGTGAGCGGCGGCAAGCAACAGCATGGTGGGGTGGCTCGGCCCAACCTGAACCAACATGCACATCCACATTGTGCAACAGCGAGGTGGGTAGGTGACCTGGCGCCATCCCCGCTGTACGCAGCGTTGAGCAGACCCTAACCCTTATCTTTGAAGAACCGTGCAGGTGGGCTGTTGCTGCACCCCAGGTTCTGTTGTGAATTGAGACTCGCACCAGACGAATCGAATCCCCCACACCCCAGTCTGCCGACTTGCTTAATCGACCGTATGCCTCCACTAAATCGACCGTATCACGGGACCACACCACCACAATTCCCCAGCCCACTCATGTCAGCCCCAGCCAAATCTTGCAGGGAACGACATCAACCGCCTAGGATTGTATAGCACTACAATACAATTGAATTGAAGCACTCTATAGGCCCTAGCAATACAAGCCCTGAGCTAAATCGCTCAAAAACGCAATAAAAATTTGAATCGTATGCAAAAATGCTGCCCAGCTAAACCGCCCGCCCTAGCACCCTGCCGCTTACACTAACCCTAACCCTAATGTACTGCCCACCACGCCCGCCCTACGTAGGCGGCTGCCATTGCTATAGAGAAAAGTAGGTAACTGTAGGTGATGGCTTCAACTATAGCTTACTTGCGCATGCGATTCCAGGCGGTTGACGTCGTTTCCTGTAAAATTTGGCTGGGGTTGACATGGCTGGGCTGGGAATTGGTGTGGTCACTGTGGTGTGGTCCCGTGATACGGTCGATTTAGTGGAGGTATACAGTCGATTTAAGCAACTCGCAGTCTGCTTTGCCGTCGCGCTGCCGTGGCCTTGCCAATTGGTCCCTCTTTCCTTGCCTGATTCCCGATCCTCAGTTTCCGACAGCCTGGATCCGTCGGCAGTGACCCGCATCGCATGTTGCCGTGCAAAGAAAGGGAAAGAAATAGAAAACGGCAACACCCTTAAGCGTCTGAATCCATAGTCTCGGGTCGAGGGTACGTACATGTACTGTACATACATACAACACCAAGCATATCGGTATTGTGCTTTCTGTATTTTAGCGAGAGCGCCCTCATTGCATTGCTACTTAGGTAGGCTTCCGCGCCCAGCTGGTGACGACAGCTTTGCGCTCCTGCCGATTTCCGAACAACAGGGGATCGCGTGGAAACCGATGAGTGGACGGACCAAGATGAGAGCAACGGCAAACCGCAGTGGTCGGCCCGCATTGCGTCAATCGGGTACTACCAGTTTCCTACTCCCCTTAATAAACCTTCGAACCATGTTCGGCGCCGGCTCTGCAGCTAACCCCGAATGGTGGTTCCTCGGGCTATTTTTTCCCATGTCTTCTGGCGACCGCCCGCTGGCGCCTGTCCGGGGACTTCAAGCTGCCCGTACATACATAATGCACTTGCGATTGCGACGTGCTATCTTGTCGTTGCGCCAGTTACGGCTGCAGCGTTGACTTTAGGCCCCCATCTACACGTCTAACTCCCTCCAATCGACACTGCTGGCTTCGTCTTAGGTACCTTAGTCTCTGCGGGGCCTCATGCTATCAGGAGCTTGCCCTCCGCGAGCGATACCAGCCGCTTGATCTGCTCCTGCTAGACGGCAGCAATGCTTTCGCCATGCCGAATCAGCTCTCTCCCCCGGCGCACCACTACCGTTCTTCTCCAGCCAGGATGGTGTCTCCCGCCCTCTCGCACTCTTATAAGTGTCTAAGATGCAATCCTTTGTTCCCGGAATGTAATAGTAGCCGGCAAGAATCCAACATTCTCTTTCGATCCTAGGTTCTCGATGGTTTCAGCGAGCCCCATTCCTGACAACAAGAGTGATGTATCCCGCGACCTCGAGCGGCAGACGCAGCGCGACCGGCCCTCGCTCCGAAGTGGACTGGCCTCGTTTCTGAAAGTAGAGGACGGGGAGGTATATGAGAGCAATCTCGAGAAGAATCCCACCTGGTACCAGAGGCTCCTGGATGCCGGCGTCGAAGAGAACGGCATCAAACCTGTGCCCCTCGAGCAGCGGACCTCGACCCGGTACAGTAATCTCTTTACCGTCTTCTTCACATGTCTCATGTGCCTGCTCCCGTAAGCTCCCCTGTCAGTCCCCGAAAAATAATTCTCGATTGTAGAGTTGAAACTGAGAGTGTCGTGGCAAAGCATTCCGACGGGCATGTTAGCCACGCTTGGTATGGGTATGAGGCTGACAGATGCTTCCCTTGTCATTATTTTCTTTGGATTGCTCACAAGCATCCCGCCTTCCTTCATGGGAATTGCTGGTATGGAAACGGGCCTGAGACAGCTTGTCCAGGCACGATATTCGTTCGGGTATGTAAAATATGGCCTGGTTCTTGAATGGCGTCAGTTCCTTCAGCAGCTTCTAACGTATCTTCAAAAGCCGCTATCTCGTAACGATCCCGCTTCTCCTGAACGCCGCCACCTTGACGGGCTTCTCGCTGATATCGGCCATTGTTGGCGGCCAAGCGCTTGCGTCGCTGGACCCCGAGACCATCAGCGTCAACGTCGGCATTGTGATTTGCTGTCTAGTCTCGTTCGCTGTCTCCCTATTGGGCTTCACTGCTCTCCACCTCTGGGAGCGCTGGACCTGGATCCCGAGCTTGGTTTCGATCGTGATCGCCGTGGGTTGTGGTGGCCGCCATCTGCATCTGCAGAGCGAGGCCCCGCCGGCGACAGTCCGCCAGGTCTTGACATACGGCGGTTTTATAGCCGGCTACTTCATCACCTTTGGCGGTACCGTCTCTGATTATTCCATCTATCACAACCCTCGGGTATCGAAGTATGCGTTGTCCCTCTTGCCCTACCCGCCGTACCACCGAGTCTGACTTGGGATCAAGGCTCAAGATATTCCTGTACATGTACGCCGGCTTCCTGCTCCCATCGGTGCCTCTCCTAATCCTCGGGGCCGCCATCGGTGGGGCTGTTCCCAACGTACCAGCATGGGACATGGCATACCATGTCACAGGCGTCGGCGGCATTATGCACGAGATGCTTGCACCCGCTGGCGGATTTGGGAAATTCGTCCTCGTCATTCTGGCTTTCAGCGTCATCGGTAACGTTGCTATCTCCATGTACAGTGTGGCGCTCAACTTGCAGATGCTGCTCCCGTTCTTCGCCAAGGTGCACCGCTTTCTCTTCATCCTGGTTACGATGGCCTTGATGATTCCCTTTGCGATCCGTGCCGCCGAAGAATGGGAAGAAAGTCTGACCAACTTTTTGGCTCTCATTGGATACTGGGCCGGATGCTTCGACGCTGTCTTGATTGTGGAGCTGGTTGCTTTTCGGAAGCTCGACTACTCGACCTTTGAGCATTCTATTTGGAATGTAGGGAGCAAGCTTCCGCCCGGAATAGCGGCGATCGGAGCGTCGTTGGTTAGCATGGCGCTGGTTGTTCCGGGTATGGCCGCACCGTGGTACACGGGTCCGATTGCGAGGACTACAGGGGATATTGGATTTGAGATGGCGTTTGGTGTGACGGCGCTTTGCTACTTGGCCTTTCGTTGGGTTGAAGTCAGATGGCGGGGCCATCTGTAAGCCGTTTGCTTATAGGGCGATGCGGCCTAGGGTGTGCCCAGATCGTACGCTCATAGATCGTACACATGCCTCGTAATAGTGAACGCTCCGTGGCTGCAGGTTCAAGATATCCCAGCCTGCCACCCTTCTCACCTCAGGATCCTCCCGCACAGAACCACGTCCTCCCCAAACGGACAGCAACTGACATCGGTCAAGCGCACCGGCGTGGCGTGGGCCCCTTCCTCCCCGCGCATCCTAGGCGGCGACACCACTACCCCACCCCGGCCGAGCCACGTCGGGGCGATGGTCACAATCACCGAATCGACCAACCCGTTCCCTGGCGGCGCCAGTAACGAGTTGATCACTTCCCCGCCCCCTTCAATCATGACACTCCCCAGACCCTCCCTCTCCAGCACAGCCAGCACATCCACCCACTCAAACCTCCCGTTTGGGCCTCTGGCCTTAAGGGGTATATACCTCCCCCCGACACTCTCCAGAACCCTCCTCCTCCCCTCGTCGACACCGCTGGCATCACCCAACTCCATCCCAAACCTGTCCTGATCAACCAGAACGAAGGGCGCGAGCCCCTTGCCGTCTCGCGCGTGACGGATTACCTTGCTCCCCTCGTGCACCGCCCACCTGGCGCGCGGGTCGAGAACCACCGGCCGTGGCTGCGATCCTGCGCCCGAGCCCGAGGACAGACGTGAGTTGAGCCCGGGGTCGTCGGCGACGGCGGTGCCCGCGCCCACCAGGATGGCCGCGTGGCGCGATCGGAGAAAGTGCGTCATGGCCTTGGACTGCGCGCCCGAGAGCACGGTGCGCAGCCCCGGCGCGAGCGCCAGGGACGAGTCCAGAGACTGTGCGTAGGTCAGGGTCACATGGATCTTTTTGGGATTTGTTGAGTGGGAAGGTGAAGAAGCCGGCGGTGGCGGTGGGAGGTACGGGGTTAAGAGCGCCGCTTGTGCGGGCTGGATGGTCAGCGGTTCTTGTTCTTGTTCTGACATCAAGACGAGGTGGCTGGTTTGAATTAGGATGATTGTACCGGGCTTCGTCCAGGTAAACAGTGATACAGACATTAATTCAAAGCTGCACTGCCAAGACAAGGGTTGGGAAGGTTCATGTGGTGGGATGTTTAAA